ATGCTTGAATTATCAGCCAGGGACCAAAGCTGGGGGTTAGAGAAATCGATAGTTAGACAGACAACCAGAGATTTGGGACAGCAATGCACAGTCCACAGCTCAATCACAATCCTTGTTGGAAATGATTTCTCATAACACAGGGAAGAAACAGAGACTGTAAGGTTAAGCAGGGCAGGCGTAGGCTCTCCCCTGACTGTAAGCTCCACACAGACAGGGACTGTGTCTGTTTTCTGCATCCATGTTTCTCTGGTGTCCTAGAAATTGCCAGACATGGGGGTAAGTGATAGGAATTTGTTGGGAGTGAGAAAGGAAGGGAGGGGTGAAAAGTCAGATTTCATTAACATACACCATGGGTCTCATTTTCTTCCACTATCAGTGAGGGGGCTAGACTAAATTATTTCTTGGGCCTCTTACAGTTTTAATAATTGATCATTCTAATTCTAAATAAAGATTGTTCCTGATAAACAGAACCTGAAGGCAGGGGTCAAAGACATCTCCAAGGACACAGGAAAGAAAAAGCTGACCTGAAACAGAGTAACCATATGTACAACCAAAGGGATTTTAATTTTAAGATCACAGAGAATTATATTTAAGTTAGAACATTGGCAAGGTTGAGGTTCAACTACAATTAGACTATTCAATGATTATGGCTGGCAAAGTTTAGTAAGAAAGGTAAATAATTACAGGTAGGTGTCACGTCTTTAAATATTGACCTAATTGTATTAATGCATAGTGATTTGCCCTCACTGTAATAATTTATAGTGTTTAGAAACATTATACTTGACAGCTGGGAAAGAAGGTTACTTTTGAGAGAATGTGACTGTGATTGGAAATAAGGTCCTTAAAGATGTAATTAAGTAGGGGCACCTGAGTGGCTCAGTCAGTTGGGTGTCCGACTTTGGCTCGGGCCATGATCTCACGGTTTCTGAGTTTGAGCCCCGCATAGGGCTCTATGCTGACAGCTCGGAGCCTGGAGCCTGCTTCTGATTTTGTGTCTCCCTATCTGCTTCTCCCCTGTTCATGCTCTGTCTCTCTCAAAAAAATAAATAAATAAATATCAAAAAAAAAAAAAAAAAAGATGTAGTTAAGTTAAAATGAGGTCATTAGGGTGGGGCCCTGACCCAACATGACTGGCGTTCTTATAAAAGGAAGGTATTTTGAGCATTTTTAAAAGATACAGATACTCACCAAGAGAAAGCCAGGTGAAGACACAGGGAAGAGACATCCACAAGCCAAGGAGAGAAGCCTCAGAAGAGGCCAACCCCACACCCTGACCTCAAACTTCTAGCCCCCAGAACTGTGAGAAGATTAATTTTTCTTGTTTAAGTTACTCAGTCTATGGTGTTTTGTTATGTGGCCCTTGCAAACTAAATCACACCTCCACAAATCTCTGAAATCTCTTCTATAGTTTATTTCTGGCATAACAGCCTGCTTAGTTCTCAGAGTTATGCATGATGCTTGTGTCAAAACATTTATTAATACATGATATTAAGAAAGCCTGTAGTTTTCCATCATTGATAAACTGGAAGGCAGACTATGACAGATCACAATAAAGTATCATATTCTAGAATCTACAATCAACATGAAACTCCACAAAGGATTATTTCAAGTGAGGGTAAACAATTAGGTGAGAAACAACCCAGCCCTACACTCAGAAACTCAATCAGTACCATATTCATATAAACTTTCTAGTATAAAACTCAAAGTTAAAGAAGTATAGACTATTAAATGGAAAATCCTGATAAGACCTACTTACTGATAAGACCTACGCCTCTCAACAGTAGTCTGGATTATGCACAACAGGCTAAGTGATGGCAATTGTGATAAAGACGTAATAGTAACCAGAGAAAAGTCTGGTAGCAGGCACTAAGAAATTTAGAAACCAAGGCTAAACTATATCCAACTTAAACTATTCCTCTTCCCATCCCCAACCCAAGGTATTTTGCACAGTTTTAAGACTCAAAAGATAAAAGGACTGTGAAGCCATCATTTTTCCAACCTATACTAATCCCTAACCATACTGCTATCACTATTCCTTCTCATAATCAACATTTTGAACAAATCAGGCTCTTTCTCCTGGTGATGATGATTTTACTGTGCCTGTAGATGATCCTGCAGCTACCCCAGCCTCTCAGCTTCTTATCCACTTTTCCCCAACGACCTTGTTCTCCACCCTGCCTGTGCAACTCACTCTCACAAAAGGACACCGGAGATTGTCATTTAACAATAAGTGCACGCCACCACAAACTTGATTTCTAGCATCCTTTCTCTGATCACAATCTGTTTTCTTTACAGTTTGTGCCCCTTCCCGGTTCCCCCATTTGGATTAATCCTCAGCTCCTCTGCCATGTCCAATTCATTGACTTCTAACACCACTTTACTATCCCTCATCTCTAATATCCTCATATCTTCCTTTACCCAGCCTTACTTCCACATGCGATCATTACTATAGCTCCCCTGTATTTCTGTAACCCCCTTGCCCCTCTCTTCCTCTATCACATGTGCTTGGGTCAATTCAACTCTCCAACTGACTCCTCGCCTTTGGTGAGACAACTCCACATGGGTAAGGAACAACATTCACAGTGACTGTTCTCACTTTAAATTCATGAGCACTGGCCTCAAGCAGGCCTTTCGTAATGCTCGTGGTCTTGTTTTACATTCCTAGTTTAACTCACCCGCTTCTAGACTACATTTTCTACCTCCTCTTTCCCCAAACCTCCACATTGTCTTCCTTCTTCTCATGTTCAGTTGACGACCTTGCTTCTTATTTGTTGAGAAAACAGAGGCAATCAAAAGAGGACATCTAAATGTTCCCACACGCAAATCTACCAACTTACCTTCTTGTTACAAGGGACGAATTCTTTGCCCTCCTACCCAAGACCAACTGTTAACACTTGTACACTGGATCCCATCCCATCCCCTACCCAGTAATCTCTCTCCTGCATTATTGACTTTTCCCACTCTACAAGATCATTCCCATCAGCATAGAAATATGTTGAATTAGTCCCCATCTGTGTAAAACCACTACCTGGCCCCACATTCCCCCCTCCAGCTGTCCCATTTGCTTTGTCCAAAAACCTTTGATTCCTGCCACTATAAACCCTTCTCTTTCTCCTGTATTCCACATATGCACTCCGTTGGCACATCCTTTTGGTTCTTCCTAAATATATTCAGAAACCAGTTATTTCTCACTATCTCCACCTTTACACCTTTTTCCAAGTCATCACGATCCCCCACTTGGATTACTGAAATATGTTCTTCAACTCCTCTATATTTTATTCTTCCTAATTTCACCTGTAAATATTATATAATGTAAGTCAGATCACAGCAGTATAATTACCAAAACCTTCCACACCTTCCACCTCACTTGGAGTAAAAGCTAAAGCCCTTACAAAGGACTTTCAAGAACCTCTGTGATTTGAACCCCTTTTTCCCACTCCTACCCCAACCTCATCTCCTTTTCTATTTGGCTGACTGTTTTACAACACTGGTATCCATGCTATTCCTCGAATATGGCCAGAAACTGCAACCTCTGTGGCCAGTGTCTTTTTGTCCCCTTTTGCCTATGATTTCTTCCCCCACGGAGTAGCATCACTTACTGCCTCATGTTTACGTCAGTTGTTTTCTCAAAAACCACCTTACTCATGCCACGTTCCTGATCTCCACAAAAACAGCATCTCTGCTGCCGATACTCTCCCATCCTTCTTTCTCTCCTTGACATTGCTTTACTCTTTTCATGGCACTTATTACTATGGGATATATTATGTATTTATTGCGTATCTCGTGTTTATCGCTTACTACATGGAATCAGGCAAGAACTCTGCTTTGTTCATTTGACTCTCCAATGCCTAGAATAGTGCCTGGTGCACATTAGGCACGCAGTAAATACCTGCCAAATGAATGAACCAGTATTATCATCAGCATCAGTTATCAGGATCATCTTTATTATCTAAATGCCCAGGCCTAAAGGGTTCATGCACAGCAACTCTAAGACTCTTAGGTGAAACACAACCTAAAACAGGGCAACTCTGCTGGGAGAAGGATTTGGAAAGAACATAGCCAGCATTTACTGGAAACAATGATGTGCACTTTACTGGCTAAGGCCAGAAGAGGAAAATCATTTCATGCCTCGAATTAGGTTTTAATCAAAACTAGCAGAACACGGTCACACGCAGATTCTATTCCTTAACAGAGCACTTCCATTAGAACAGCTTTGTATTATTTTTTCATCACTTAAATCCACAAAAAAGTATATGAATAAGTAATAGAAGGGAAAGCTGAAAAAAAGAGAACGGGATTTTCCTAAATCACTGATTTAAAGTCTATCATTGTTGGTTGTTGTTGTTATTTTACATGTTATATTCCAACAACGTCTTCTTTTTTCTTAGAACTATTTCTCTATCATAGTCTCTTTTCACGTAGAAAAAGAAAATTTACCCAAATGGAAATTTGAATAACCTAGTCACAAGGGTTCAAAGTAAAATAAACTTCAAGGTCTTATCATTTTGAAGCAAACTTACTACATAGATGGCATCTTCCTTTCTTCCTTTAGAAGATGCATGTGTTAGTCGTCATTTTTCCAGTGGGAACAGAATTCTAACACCACATTAAAATGTACAGATTTAGAATGTGAACTTGCATTGCATGTAAGGGGAAAAAAATATGTATATGTAACAAAGCAAGCTGATGTGTAATATATGAGAAAGTGGGCATGAAGCAATATTAAATAAATAAAAGAAAAGTTAATAAGGCAAAGAATTTAAATAATACAAGGATCTAAGAATTAATGTGTCAGGTGATAACACTTCAGCATATCTGCTTCTCAGAAGATGCATGCAACTTAAATTAAATGCCTAAATACTGATAATTAGAAATGGGGTGTGGGAGTGAAATTCAGTGGTAATTGTTTCAACTCAGATATTTACATAGAATTTTGAGTGTCTACTTTGCCAAAATCAAAATGTATCAAAAAAGGTCCCCACCATATACGGTCAACTTACTTTACAGTGATCATACTGGAGCTGTAAGGCTGGAACATCCCCTCCAATCGGCATTTGCTTTTGAAGCTCTTCGTCTTTAATATTCAGCCATTTGATCAATTCTTCTAAAGACGTCAGCAACCTGTTCCATTTCTCAGCACTGGCCTCCAAGTGGGCCCTGTTAAGAGACAGTACTGACCACATTTAGAAGTTGGAATTGCATTTAAAAAATCATACATCTTCCCTTAGACTAATAATCTTGAATGACGAACTAATGTTCACGTCCAATAAAAAGGCTGACTCTTAGTAAAAAAAAAAACAAAAAAACCCTAAACAAGTTATTTTGAAGAAGCTAGAATATGCAGATATGTTGGTAATACCTATCAAAATTGTAAACGGATAACTACACACCACAAAGGCATAAATATGAGGTTTTCAAGAAGAATTTCCATGATATAAAATTATGAAAGCAAGTTTCAGTAGCTTATGTATAGTACACATGAACACTGAACTACAATTTTCTTCTCCTTTCATCCATCTATGTGAAGAAAGTGATTGAGAGGAAAAGAGAACAACTATATGCATATAAAATGTTTAGAAAGATACATACTAGATGAGCTTACATCTGAGAACACAGTAAACACGTAATTTTTATATATTTAGGTACTAATTGAGTATGTACAACAGGCCCATATTATTTTTCTTTCTAAAAGAGCTAGTTAATTTTTTAGGAAAGGAAATTATTAAAGCCTTAACATTCCTTAAAACCAAATAAATTACTGAAAGTAGAACATCACCAGCATTTACCTCCAAAAGCTGGAAAACAACCAGTCATTGCTTGCATAGAACACTATTTGGCTCAAGGCTGACTGGTGTCCAGTGACAAATGTCTATTGTGAACAGAAAACAATCGGGCAGAAATTGTTGACTGCAGTACTGTGTCCCCTGGTTTAAAGGTGAGGTCTTTGTTTCAATAACAATTTCGGGGTTTAGGACAGAAAAGGACCTTCAGATTCTTAAATTATGAACTTATAATCAGGAAACCATGTGTCTGAGATACGTTTTTGTGTGATTCAGATTCCAATAAAAGTAAAAGCCCTTGAGGTGGGAATGCAAATTGGTGCAGCCACTCTGGAAAACAGTGTGGAGGTTCCTCAGAAAATTAAAAATAGACCTACCCTATGACCCAGCAGTAGCACTGCTAGGAATTTACCCAAGGGATACAGGAGTACTGATGCATAGGGGCACTTGTACCCCAATGTTTATAGCAGCACTCTCAACAATAGCCAAATTATGGAAAGAGCCTAAATGTCCATCCACTGATGAATGGATAAAGAAATTGTGGTTTATATACACAATGGAGTACTACGTGGCAATGAGAAAGAATGAAATATGGCCTTTTGTAGCAACGTGGATGGAACTGGAGAGTGTGATGCTAAGTGAAATAAGCCATACAGAGAAAGACAGATACCATATGTTTTCACTCTTATGTGGATCCTGAGAAACTTAACAGAAACTCATGGGGGAGGGGAAGGGGGAAAAAA